ACAATAAGTCAATGTTTAAGATTCTTTAAAATTATCTCAATGAGAATTTAGCCTGTTAACCTATAGTTAAACTACACTTCAGCAAGATTTCGAAGCTATATAACAAATCTCATAATTTGCAACTTTTTCATTATTTGATAATTTAACCCATTATTCTTTATTGCTGATTTAAAAATTGCAAGGAATTCAAATGACCTAGGGAAGCCAGTGATATGAATTGGCCTTATTCATTGAGTTACATTAAAATGGAAAATTGTGAAGAACAAGAGAACTGTTCCACGGCTTCACAGGAAATATGGAAGCAAAGTCAACAAGGGATGTGGGAACTAGGCTGTTAACATATAGAGATTTAGAACTCTCCAGGGAAGTGTCTCTATTTGGTATAAAATACACAGGTCTATTCATGCACACCATTTTAAATATGAATCAAAATTAGTGATATCCATGTTTCTGGTGAAAGCATTAATTGAAAGAGACAAACACCCTACCCCAATGGTGTAAAATATAAGGAAGTTCGAAGCAGTAAAAAGGTATTACCATTTTAGATTTGATTGAACAAATTGAATCAGAGGCAATTTTTAAATTTCGATATATTAAAAGAGGCTCTCTTGGTTAGATGGGAGAATTAGTTGCATGTTAAAGGTGCCGCTTTGTTCAGTTTATAACAAAATTGATATTAAGCCCGAAACAGTAAGAAATGTTAAGCAAATATTTCATTCTATGGAGGGCAATACCTGTTCATCTTTCAATGATTTTTGCAATATGTATTGCCCGCAGCCCGTAGGGCGATGGTAATACATTTTGCAAAAATCATTGAAAGTGCAGTTGTCAGAATCCCCAGGCGGGCAATACGCTGGACAATACGTCTTTTAAATATGGAAATAATTCAGTGAGCTGTGAAATTCGCTGGTATTTTTAGTCACATGGTTCTGAATTAGCCAATCAAATCACACGATTTATAGCAATGATGCAATAATTAGTGCTACTTCCATGAACACCCGTTTTGTAGAATAAGATTCTGATTCTCGTATTTGGTATATATATGAATTAGACAAAGGCAAATCCAGTCGAACATCTTGTTGAGCATCAAACAAAGGTACAAGCTATATATCATTTCTCAAAATGGCCACTTTACTGAAAAAATTGTCAAAAGATTATATGTATCATGTTTTAATGTATTTACGTTTAAATATAGCTGTCTTAATAAGTACACATGATGAAAATACAGGCACAAACAAAATGCATACTTTCTGAAACCCTGCGTTTGGATATTGATAAATTGAATGATATTGGCTAAAAACATCTGTCAGAATTGAAACAATATTTCCCCAAGAAAAGTCAACATTTCAAAACAACAGCAATAGCTAGAACTATCCTATTTAGATGTTTACTTGACAGTATGGAAAATTGGGGAAGCCTGACAGAGAATCATAACAGATAGAGGTAGAAAGATTTGATAAAGAAAATGGAGTTTTGGTGTGGGAGGGGGGGGGGCGTGTAATTGTATACTTGTTTATAAAATTGATAAAATGACATATTCTAGACAAGGATAGGCATTTGCCATAATAAACTATGAGGGATAATGACTCATAAACTTACACAATGGAGATTTGGGGTAGTAATATGGAACATACGTCATATGGAAACTGTAACCTTATAAGATCTTGTCCAGTATTTCAGTCATACCTGATTATAAAGGACCATTGATGTTACAGCATCAGGGCATATTACATATAATATTCAATCATGACCATCATTTCTACTGTGCCAAAATAATTCAACCAATTTTAAAATGCAATACGAGAACAAGATTTCTTATTTTAGGTTATATTCATATGTCTAATAATATTTGATATTAAACTATTAACTTTTATTGTTTTTATACACTAAACAGATTTGTTAAGATATTATTTTAAGTTTTAACATAACAAACCACTTTCCAGGTCGAAGGAATCACTAAAGGTACAGCATTTCAGAAATGTGTAAATTGTTTATATTTCATTATTTTGTGAAATACTAAAAGGAGTTTTACCCGTTCCTTGTTGACCATGAGTCAATGAATGCATTATGTAATATCTGCAAAATGATGCACTATGCAATTCATACATGGAATAATTTATTTTGCCATATTGGAATCAAGTATTTTCGTTAATCCATTGGATAGATCATGCATTACCTGATGTTGATAATAGAATCAGTTAGTCAATTCTAAGACACCATTTATCCGAGAAAATCTTAGTTATGTATTAAGGCAGGGCATTACATTTCACATATCGTTTATTCATGTTTACTACATCTATGGTTCCAATGTCATTTAAGCCTGATTTGGTGCAAATGTCAAAGCATAACATCAACTCTAAAGTAGTTTAATTCAATGAAAATTAAAAATATCAAAATCGACAATTACTGTCCGCCATCTTAGATGCGAAGGTTACGGCCGTTACCTTCACTTGGTACTGATCAGTGTTGGTCCATTACTTTTCAATTGCATAAAATGGCTCTAACCCTGACAAATATATTAATCAATTTTAACTCATAGCTCTTGATCAATGAAACTATTTATATTCTAGCTTCAAGTCAATGAATACGACTTTGACAAGCTAAAAAGACTAAGGACCTCTAGGACTTAAAAGTTAATTTGACCATTAATGACCTATGATAGGGAAGGGTCATGATAACACTTATATAAAATATTTAAAGTATCTAATAATGATAATGAACATACTACAATGTTACACAATGTTAGTAGATGCTAATTTAATGTCAATTGTTGTTAGTGTAATAAGTATTTTTCATTTAATGCTGCAACAATTACACAAGTACCAAAAAGTGCCACGCCCACTTTTCCCTAAAAGCAGTTGTGTGTGACTACATTTGATAAATATTATTAATTTATGAGATCATTATATCAAGTTTTTAGTGCTTTAGTGTGAATACATACATATTAATTCAACTTTTGACAAAGTTGCAGCCACAAAATCCAAACAGATTTGCAAATATTTCACTTTGAGAACTTAAGGACACATTTGGGACGGGGTCAAATTGAGAAGATTGTGAGATATAAATACTGTTTCCATGGTAACCATATAAGTCAGAGATTGGAAATTTCTGGCACTGACTAACCATGGCATGCCCTACCCACTATAAAACGATGAATATCTGATATGCATTAGTATTATTTTTATTGGGTGGTATTAAAGTACCCCCAAGGTTTTGTTGGGGTAGGGGTATAAATTGGCCTGAGGGCCTTCTGCCACCCCTACACAAAGTCCAACTACCCAGAAAGTGTCTATTATAATCATACAAATTGTTTGAAATATGTTGGAATGTGTGACCTTCCATGAAAAGCGAGATCCATTTCTAGAGCACTTCTACAGAATAGTCCGCAGTCAAGCTGAGTGCACATGAAAGAAGCATTCACTTGACACGCAATTGACATACTAATTCAGACTCCGTGACTGTTGGGCAGTTAGGTAAGCATCGTTCGTCCTATACTCTGTGATTGTGTGATATTGTCTAAAACCAAACGTGTTCATTCGTAATGCACTGTCAATTAATAATTGTTTGACTTGAATACGCTTTTGGAAAAATTGATCCAATAATCTAATGAACTTTTAAAAATCCATTCTCCGTCAGAGCTTATTTGGATAAAACTTTGATTTTCCAAGCAGTCAAGCTTATTCCTTCACCAAAATATCGTGAACTGTTTTATATAGTAATGTCTCTATTAGGCTATTACATGCACATATTGAATTGATTTTTATTACTGTGCTCACGTTTCTATGCACTACATGTACATAACTAACTTAAAAAATAAAAAGGAGGCGTGTATTTGAAATGTTCTAGTCCCAACACACACTGTTAATGCGTACATTTCGAACAAATAGAAAATATAACCATAGGCCTTGGAACATGTATAAGATATCAAGTCGAATTCTATTTGATATCTTAGTACATCGGCCATCCACATTTGGTCTTTAACAATTTCGTAATAAGACGTGAACTTCAATGCGCGCGCAGATGAATGGCGTCAGATTTGTTTGTTTCTAGTCCATGGTATGAAATCTCTAGGACGTCTAATAAAGGAGCTGGTAGCACACTATAGCGCAGCAATATTTGACCTAACATTAACATACCAACATATGTTCCCTAATACTTTTTATTATAACCGTTTAATATACTTCCGGCTTTTAGGCTGAATTATGCCTATCACTAACAGAGGTCAAAAAATTACCAAAAAAATAAAGTCTCAATTTTTCACAATTTCGAGTACACAATGCAACAGAAAATAATACAAAATATTTATTTTTACATATATGATTTAGGTTTCTGAGCTATAAGTTTGAAGTTCATTTTCTTAACAATACCAAAAAATTATGTAATCAATGTATCAACGTTTTGTATTGTTTCTCGGGTATTAATAAGATAATTGCTACAAATGAATCACTTTTATATTAGAATGACAAATGGTTAAATTATGCTAGTTTTCACAAAATGGGTCTCAATACGTTTTGAGATATGGATTTTTATTCCGCGGTGAACATTATCAATAAAGGCGGGCCTGTTGCTTTTCCTTGACTAATTAGGACTACAGCTAAAATTCTATTTCTCGTAGTTAGATATAGCTCAGTTGTTTATAAAACAACCATCAAGACTTAGTCGAATAATTGAGAAAATCGTTATCATTATCTTCCTAAAATTTGCCTTTTCACTATATTTGATTTGCGAACGAGGCATTTTCTTTGAGTTAAGTCCGCCCTTGATATGAGCAGAAAGTGAAACTAAAGTAATTGAATTATGGTTGAATATGAATTAAAGCAAAAATTAAACAAAATAGTATATATAAAAAGCTGACTGTACTCGAACCCAGATCCGACGGAAACGAGTCTTAAGTGCTAACCATTACACCATATAGAGCCATGACCCTTAGTGATGGCCACCACATAAATATACCTCCACGTCCACTGACATGGTTTCAGACGTGAAGCTTAACAGTAAATTTTCTTAAACGTGTGCTTGAGCGTGAAATTACGAGTTCTGGTTCATGGTTTGCATTTGTGCGTGTAACTTAACCTCTCTAATGACCTAGAACGACGGAAAGGAGACACGTGAAATATATTTAGTCCAGTTATAGTATTGCACACATAATCAACAAACAATTCACTGTAACTCAGGATCTGAATGTTGAAGTCTTTTTTTTTAAATATAGTGAAGAGTTAATTATTTTCTAAACATGAAGGAATCATCGGTGAAGATCCTAGTCCGCGTGTTCACGTTATTATCTATTCTACTAGTCATCCTTCTATTATACCATCATGGTCAGACATCGAGGATCACTGAGGTGCAAGAGGTCATCGGATTGGAAGATGTGCCCATTCGCGAGGCGCCCGTCGATGAAACTATCAATCCATTCGATACATGGTGGAAAAACTACAGAAAGTCTGATGAGTTTGGAGATGTTTTTAAATGGAATCATTATTTTGATATCTATCACAGACATTTTGCAAGGTTCAGGAACAAGGAGGTAGGCTTTGCTTCTAAAATTGATTTTAATGAGAAACCATACATTTTTATCACACCATCGGTGGGATATAGTCGTCATACTGGTCGTGATCGTGGTCGTGATCGTGATAGTGATCGTGGTCGTGATCGTGATCGTCCCGCTTTTTGTCATCGCCGTTTAAGGAAAACTGCTCATCAGATTTTCTCCAAATTCGCAGAGATGATAGATCATATAAAGTACTAGAGCTGATTAACTTTTGGGTGGCCATCTTGTTTTCTGGCGGCCATTTTGAAGGTTTTTCGAAAAATCTTGTCATCGCCATTTCAGGAAAACCGCTCATTGGATTTCCTTCAAATTTACACAAATGATAGAGGATATCAAGTACTAGAGCTGCTTAACTTTTGGGCGGCCATCTTGTTTTCTGGCAGCCATTTTGAAGATTTTTCGAAAAATCTTGTCATCGCCATTTCAGAAAATCCGCTCATCGGATTTCCTTCAAATTTACACACATGATAGAGGATATCAAGTACTAGAGCTGATTAACTTTTGGGCGGCCATCTTGTTTTCTGGTGGCCATTCTTGTCATCGCCATTTCAGGAAAACCGCTAACCGCTCATCGGATTTCCTTCAAATTTACACAAATGATAGAGGATATCAAATACTAGAGCTAATTAACTTTTGGGCGGCCATCTTGTTTTCTTGTTCTTGAAATTTGTAAACATAATAGGAGAACAGTTTTCCTGGTTCATAGTGTCTGCCTATTTGACGGTGTGATCTCGTTCACGTCCTGTGCCTTGTTTTCTTTAAAAAGGACAGAAACAAAATACCTGGACACACCAGGGACATATACTGCAGTAAAAGTTGGCTGAACATTTTGAAACTGGTTCACCTATGGTAGAGCAGAACGAATTTGTTATCATTTTAAAGCAAAGGGGTGGCATATGGAATAAATTGTAGTATAAAATATAAATGTGTTACAAGAAGAGGTGTTAATTGCACTTAAATTACACTCCCCTCCATAGTTTGGCAACCTTAGCTCCCCCATTGAACTACGTGTAAAAGCCTCTTTACGTTTGAATTTTTATTTACTTAACCGGCAATGAAATAACTTATAATATTGATGAATATTGAAAGTTGATGATAAATTTTTGAAAATCGTCATTCACATGTAATCCAATGGGAAATGGAAGGTTCGGGGCAAATCAGAATATCTTTTCAGTAAACGATTCAGCAAAAAATAGTTTTATATAGAAAATTGAATTGTCTAACTGTTTTGTTCACTAAGGGTTTAGTTTATTTGATGAATACTAAAGTTACAGCGCTTCAAAGTCATTTTTAAAAATCATTTTTCGCCTCCTGTGTTATTTCAATCGGAGAGGTTTTTTGAAAAACAATTTTGACTTTAAAGCCCTATAACAATTGTTGAACCTGAAGAAACATATCAATTTTTGGTTAAATAAAGTTAGCAAATACAATTGCCTGCCTAACTCGTATTCTTTGCAAGGACTCGGATGGATGGATTTCTGTCATATGACTTGCGGCAAACCCACCATTTCCCATTGGTTAACATGGGAATGTCGATTTTAAAAAAATTCATCAAATTTATCATCAATTTTCGACTTATTGTAATTGAGAAAAAAATTGAGAAAATTTGGAGGTATTGGAAGTAAAGTCAAATTACGTTTCCATCATGGTATAACTATTTTCATCACAGGTTAAGTAAAGAAAAATTCAAAGGTAAAGAGGCTTTAACACATAGTTCAATGGGGGAGCTAAGGTTGCCAAACTTATGGAAGGGAGTGTACATAACCCTAATTTAAGTAGAATTTACAATGTAGATTTATAGGGGTCAAATGATTCATAAATTATGTTTAAATCAATCGGCTTCGCCCCCGAATTTAGGTTATCGGTATCAAGTCTGGGGAATTATCACCATAGTGATTTGTGGAAAGGTTAAGACCTCTAGACTAAGAAAATATGTGATAGCATTGTAACCAGAAGAAGTGAGTAGCTCCCACAATTATATCATATTCTATCGTATTCGGGGATGAAACGATGAAAACATCAGTTTACTCAAATTTCATCACCCTTTAACTGTCACGCTTAATTTGGTACACATCCTGTGGTAAACAAGCATTCAATTGCGCAATTCTGATGAAGGACAAAATAGCAATAGTAACACCCCAGTCGCATTTCCTATGGCGACCGTGCGGTCCGCTAACCGCATGGCGAGTTCTTGAATTTCTGTTGGTTAACGTTATTTCATCTTTTATTTTATCTACATCAGTACAATTTATAAATGTTGTTTGTAGTGATAGGATATAGTATCGAATAAAAAGTGCAAGTGAAATATAAGTTGCTGTGGTATCAGTGATCGACCCTACACAAACAGTATACGTATTATGTTGTGTCTACAGCAAATATATGGCTAAAAACTGACAGAAAAACTGTTTCCAGAGGTACGTTACCCATCAAACCCTATAGCGGACGCAAATCAACGGCAAACCCGACGTGCCACCGTTGATCCTTTCTGGCAACAGTCTGTTGATCTCTACGGGGACCGCAGAAATTAACTGGAGAGGTTAAGCTACCGTATAAAATCCAAAACGCAACTTAAACGTATCAATCGCCCCTATACAAATACATGTAGAGTTCACACATAAATAGCCGTTCAGCTCTAGTGTTTGTTTAGACTACACCATAGCTTGTAATGATTACATAGTATGCCATTGATGAAGTTCAATAGCTGGTTTTCTAATACATATTTTAAACGAGCTCGTTTCGTAAGATTATTGGAGTTAAATCATGCGTAACATACATCATCTTCTTCAGAAAGAATTATACTCTGCATCGAAATCAAAATTGCAAGGATAGTATTCAACAGACATGAGTATAATGATTCCCGTTGATAGCAACGTGAAATTTAAAATCTCCCGTTCTAAACACGCAACTTTGAAGTTGAACGGGTATCTGAAGTACACTAAAGCGATACAATCCTATGTTGATTCAATGTACTTTGCGTTTACGTATACGTTTTGAAAAACCGTATTGGAGAGGTTAAGCTAACGATGTTTTTCACAACGTAACCGTGAACGCAAAGTTCAAAAATTAACAAAGGAATGTATCGAGCGCTCATAGTTTTATGCGCGCTTAGTCTACTTCAGATACTCTTTCAGCTTCAGAGTTTCGGGTTTAGAACGGGAGATTTGAATATTTGACGTTGGGTCAACGGGAACCATTTAACTCGTGTCTATTGAACACTATGGTGTCAATTTTGATTTCGATGCACAGTTGAATTCTTGCTGAACACGATGATGTATGTCATGCATGATTTAGCGCCAAAAATCTTACGAAACGAGCTCGTTTAAAATATGTATTAGAAAACCAGCTATAAAACCGCATCAATGATATACTATAGAATCATTACACGCTATGGTGTAGTCTAAACAAACACTGGATTTGAACGGCTATTTATATGAGAAGGCTACATGAATTTGTATATGGTCGAGTGATACGTACAGGTTCAGTTTCGATTATATATGCAAAGCTTAACCTCTCCATTTGCTTAACCTCTCCACTAATATTATAACTCCGAGCTATAATTTCTACGGCTACCCTGCGGTCTGTAAAAAACACAAGGAGACCGCAAGGCGAGCGTAGTTTTTCTACGCTCGCCGTAGAAATTCACTGATTTAATTGATCTGCGGTCGACGCACGGCCGCCGTACGACAAATGTAACTGGGGTGTAAACATTTCTGGCTTTATTTTATCACTAGACACATGCTTGATCTATACGACATATGTAAGTAGGCCTACGAGTGACACAATTTATCTGTACTCCATGCAATGGATATATCATTGCGGGTAACTTTAACTTCTGTTTGGTGTCCAACAACGCTAAGAGTAAAAGCCATTGAAAACGGCGCCGGAGTATCATACTCCAAAATGTACCATTTCTTTTATTTCTTTTTATGGTACAAGAATAGTGACACGATAATGTTTACATATTTTTTCAGCATAACTCTGAAGTTTGATGTATTGGGTATTTTTAATATTTTTTAATATAATCAAAAATTATGTTTAAATTTATTGTCCGCTGTGACGGAGCAGTTTTAACTGTGAATTACGTTAAGAATTTAAGATTCAAATTATATCTTTTAAAACTACCCTTAGAGGAGAGAATGTCTCAAATCACTTTCCTAAATTATGACAAGTAGTCTGGGAGATCTGGGGTAATGTAAATCTAAGATTTAAAAACGACCAATCTTTTAGCATTTTTCGGAGGTTTGTACTGAAATCAACATATATCAACATGGCGTGAAGTCAACATACAGGGTGACCCAAAAAAATGCAACCCTCCACTTCTTCAATATCTTTATAAATGGAGGTAAATTGCTCTGAGATTTGGCACACAAGGACTTCATTCAATGTGGGATCCTCTGGCAAAGTTTTAATAATCACAGTCTTATATTGATAGAGTTATGGCTGTTTCAAAATATGCTCAAGATGTCGTCAATTTTGCTGAAAACAAACTTGCAATGTTCAAGGAAAACTGTTCATAACATGGATGCATTCTACCCCATGGGTATGGCTCATATTTTTGCAGCCATTGCTTGTTGGAGTTCTGCAATTGCGGTAGGGTTATTTTCATACACATTATCCTTTAAATAACCCCATATATAGAAGTTAGGTGCATTGAGATCAAGACTGTGGGATGACCATGGGTTCTCCGTCCTAGGAGAGATAATTTTCTCATAGAAATGACTAGTGAGCCAGGCTATGCTATCATTAGAAGTGTGAGGAGTAGCTCCATCCTTCTAGAACCACTGTTCTTGTCTATTGAAGCCTCTGTGTCACTCTAGAACTGCCTAGAACTTCCTGGGAACGCCAATATTGCGCTGTGTGTTAACAGTAACAGTGTTGCCATTATCAACCTCAAACCAGAAAAGGGGCTGATGATTTCATGTTTGGAAAAAAGCTGTGCATTTAACAGAATGAAGGGGCCTTTGAAGCACTTCATCTGGAATTTGTGATCCCAGAACACATTATTTTTTGAGTTTACATGTTCGTAAAGAAGGGAATGTGATTCTTCCGAAAACCTAACATTGAAAATGGACGACATTTGGAGCATATTTTGGAATGACCATAACTCTATCAATTTAAGACTATGAATACTGAAACTTTGCCAGAGATCCCACATTGAATGAAGTCCTTGCCAGTGTGTGCCAAATTTCAGAGCAATTAACCGCCATTTAAGAAAAATATTGAAGAAATGGAGGGTTGCATTTTTTTGGGGTCACCCTGACGCCTTGGAATGTCACGTGTAGTGTAAATAGGGCTATTATGATTTTTTTTTGAAATAGCGTGCAGACATCCTGCATTCCGACAGATGTATAACCTTTTACCACATAATATTACGGAATATTACTATATGTAAGATGATCCCAATACAGATTTAATTTATTCATGCCTCGCCGTTTTGCTAAGTCTAAAAATATAAAGTAGCATCATTGATATATGCCCTTGAGACAGTGAATTCCACTTGTGAACAGTTCTGGGACTGAATAGATGTAGGGTTCATGGAAGACCAATTCTGTAAGTTGTCCCCGTACGTGGTAGTCGCAGATGGGGCTACCGAATGACCAGAAAGCATCATCAGTTCGGGGAGGATGAATCTTGTAAACTATAAAATTGGAACATAGAGTATTTAGTAACAGAATGTCAATAAAGATTGAACAATTTGCATATAAGATAGGTCTAAATGTTGGATTATAATTTCCAATGATACAAATGTTGTTTAGAAATCAATACATGTATATCGGTTTAAAATATACTTTGTGCTCATTGTGAAATGTTGCAATAATAAAAAATATGATTTGATATGAATTTTATATCACCTATAATATCACCTATAAAATCAACGGGGAAATTCCCGGAAAAAATCCCCGGGGATAAAATTGGCTTATATTAAGGTTGGTTTTCAGCCTAAGGACACCCCTGGTTGGCATCGGGTGATCTGGGAGCCAGGATTAGTGGGATGAATCTAGGCACATTATCCTTTAAATATTTTAGATTCTTGTAGAACCTATGGCTTGGAGACTCATCTTGTTTGAAAATGTAATAATTTGAAAATGAGCTCATATCATGGTGGTGCAAAAACAACAGAATTGGATAATCCGATGCCAACGTCTAAGACTACCACATATTGGGAGAACTAACAGAATTGGTGAACCATAAACCCCTTAGGTCTATCCAATCCTTCATTAAGGGTAGCATTGTTGAAAAGTGGAATTCATTTCTCAACAGCATATCAATGATGCTATTTACCAGTTTAGGCCAAGATGATGTCTTCAGTTGATGAAAATGGTGGACATATTGAACGTCCGTTTATGTAAAAATAAAGTTGTCAAAAGAACTTAGTTCTTGCAAATTTTGATAAAAACCTTTTGAAACAAAAATTATGTCATTATGGACGTTAGTTAACAAACATTGCAAAACAGTGAACTTATGATATACCAAATTAAAGATCATTGAATTCCCTGTTCACTGGTATATAGTATGACATTCTTTCATCAAGAAAATCAATATTTATTTTTGTCCCATTTTGTGTCCCATTTTTTGGACCACCCTGTATATATCTTCATAGGTATAACTTAAAGACATCACTTCAATTTAGTATCTCTATATAGAAAGGCATTAAATCAGTGAAGGATTTCTTCATAGTCAGGCATAATTTTCAATGTAACATCTCTTTAGACTGCCACCGCTTCAATAGTATGAAACAAAGCTCCTTCAGGGCATTTAATTATAAAAAATAAAGAAATATAGAAATAATATGTCGAGGTATCATGTGAGCAATGATATTCAATGCACCAGGCTTACAATTTTCTTACTTTGCAGATGACTATGCTGGAGATAGGAGTGCGAAATGGCGGCTCTTTGAAGATGTGGCGAGATTACTTCGGTCCTGGTCTACAAATCTATGGTCTAGATATTAAACCCAACACTAAACGATTTGAAAATAAATTAGAGCGAGTCAAGATCCTAATTGGAGATCAGGGAAATGCAACATTTTGGACTGAAGCACTGAAAACGTTGCCCAAGTTTGACATTGTTATTGATGATGGGGGGCACACAATGAAACAATTAAAGGTAACTTTTGACCATCTGTATGACCATGTGAAACCAGATGGTGGGATATATCTCGTGGAAGATCTTCATACTGCTTACTGGAGAGGCTTCAAAGGAGGGTACAAAAGGCAAGGAACTTTTATAGAATACACTAAAGATCTTATTGACCAGCTGAATGCAGATCACAGTAAAGATGAAAACCTAAAAGTGACAAAGTTTACAAGAAGCACACAAAGTATGCATGTGTATGACAGTATAGTCGTATTTGAGAAGTCACCACACCCTAAATATTACCAAATAATGTCACAGTAAATCACAAAAGATGTCAGAAATGTTGAGAGAGGGCTCAAGCTAGTCTAATATAAAATCATTTTTGATCTTGCTTATCTTACTTTTGACTGATTCTCGGCAATTACACAATTAAACATTAAAACAGCAATTTTAATGATGTTATACAAATCATTATTACCACCTTGCCGGGCCTGTTCTAGGGCTATTAGTGCTAGTTTAGAAGGCATTTATTTTACTTTATACCATGGTCAGAGCCAGGTATATAATAGCAAATCACATATTTTGGACAGGGACAAATGATAGATGATATCGGGTTCAGAGGGATGATATCAGGGCTGATATTGATATCATCCCGGATAAATTCAAAAAATTGTTTTTTCCCCCAAAAATTCATTTTTTCAAAAAATATGGTATAAGATCGTTATTCTGGGTTATTCACCTGTCGGGATGATATGGGTGAATATCCCTCGGATGATATCGATATTATTAAAAAGGCCTATTTCTATCATGCAAAAATAACTGAAATCATGTTTAACTACTACATATTCAGAGTCATAGTGTGTGACACAAATCATCCAACCAAATCTGGAAAACTTAGAAGGAACTTACAAACAGTTCCTTAATGATGAGGCATATGGGCGTTCGTCCAGTTCTGAATTAAGTGATGGGACTCGGTTAGTCTTACTGTTATTTAAGTTAATGGCACGATCGTAACAGTAATTATACTGATATGTAAACAGCAAGTGATTTGAAATACTTGCCACATACAACACCCTAATGTTGACCGGAATTTTCCCTGGCTGGTGATAAATATTTTCCATAAGAAATAATATGAAAAGTAAGCAGAAACACTGAAATTGAACTGTTGAGGTATTAAAGGCCTAGCTAGCTCTCCTATGCAAAAATAACTGAAATCATGTTTTAACTATATGTACATTCAGAGTCATAGCGTGACACAAATCATCCAACCAAATCTGGTACATGCAACTTAACAAACAGTTAGTTCATTAATGATGAGGCATATGGGCGTTCCTCCAGTTCTGAATTAAGTGATGGGACTCGCCTACATGTCGTTTTACTGTTGTTTAAGTTAATGGCACGATCATGACAGTAATAAATTGATATGTACATGTAGACAGCAAGTAATATGAAATACTTGGCACATACAACAATAGTTATAGTTACCATTTAATGACTACAGTCCGATTCAAAATTCTATTGAGTACTTTGATTTAAAAAAATAAGCAATTAAATGACCATATTGGAACAGTATATGGAAATATAAACATATGTACTAGCTTTGTAAATGTAATAATGTATGGTATTTTATTCTTGTATTAAAATAAATAAACTAGGTCTACCAACGTTCGTCTTCTTTGATATAAACATGGCAGAGAAGCATCAAAATACACCCTATGCTTAGTGAGCGGACCTAATTTCAAGGGTGATGGTAAAGACGAGGCATGGCGCCCAAACCTGGCCTGTAACTAGGTGCACTGATGCTTTCTACGCAAATTACATCGCCATTGCTCGTCATCGAAATTCTGATCGCCGAATAGACACTCTAGTAAACATTCATTTTGTATTGGATGTACATAACTAGAGACCGCTTTATTTCGCATATATGAAAAAATAAAACATATCTAGGTACATATATCTTTATATGTGACATCGATCAGGAATTATTGACATATTGACAATAATAGGTTGTAATTTCTTGCGGTAAATTCAAATTGTATCTTTAAACGACTGTTTCATCTTAACTATTCGTTTTATTGGATGTAAAACAAACGGTATGCATAGTTTAATATCTTTCACTTCTAAAACAGCATAAAATATCACAATATCATCACCCTATGCTGCAATAATACGACTTAAAAGATTATGGTACTAATATTCTTTGGTTTTTGGGTGCCATGCCTCGTCTTTACCACCACCCTTGAAATTAGCTCCGCTCACTAAGCATAGGGTGAAATATAATAGTTTACATAGCCGAACTACAGAACAAACCAAAATATACAAAAGTTAGGCCATGTACAGTATGTATGTTTCTATTTTTACATATACTGTTTTAATATGGTCCTTCAATTGCTTATTTTTTAGATTCAAAGTACTCAAAAGAATTATGAATCTGACTCGAACTTTCTATGTTTTCAAGGAATAAAAATACAAGCTAGTTCTATTTACTTTCTTTTGAATATAAAGCAAATATATGACATAAAAATTTTGAATCGGACTGCAGTAATCATGGTAACTATATCAACTGTTGATGTGCCACGTATTTCATATTACTTGCTGTCTACATATCAATTTTATAGATATGACTTAAGTTTTATTTGAAAGATACAGTGTCAGATTATTCGTTTAGAAAGCGTAGCATTTATGGCACCAACACTTTTTACTTTGAAAGAAAATTGACATTTTATCACAAAATGCTAAATATTTAGGTCAAGTTGACCTCGATTTAACCTCGTTGACCTACTTTTTCAAAGAATGCCGTGCAGTACTTTTTCTGAAGAGATTATTGAATAAGTTTTACAATAATACCAACATTTAGAAATCAGACAAGTAATAACAAATTACAGAGAGGGGGGGGGCCCAAATGACCCCCATATAAAGGTTCCAGACATCAGGGTTAAAGTTGTTCTCAAACCATTTCACTCGATTTAGAGATATTAATGCTATTTTACCGTATGAAAGTCACACTTTACGCTGGTGAACCATCAACATTCATGACAGTATATAGTTGTGTTTGAGTAGTCACAATATCCTAAATATCACATAATGATTTCACAGTAAATCACGAAAAATGTCAGAAATGTCTTAAAAATAAAAGGCATTCTTTTCAAAGTAAGAAATAAATTACAAAACATGCATTGATAGTTCTACTCACTTGTTTATTCACATATTTCTTATTGCAACATCATATACTGTAGGCTTAAATAAATTCTCACTGGCACCGTTATTTTTATCTTCAGAGAGGAAAATTTAAAATCTTAACAATTTTTGACATTCACAAGTTACAGGCCTCATGCACTTCAACCAACGCGAACATCAGTTCTGACCTCGCGAACTACGTTCCTTCCACTCGAACCACGTTTCTCACATCGCGAACGTGAAATCTTTAGTCAGTTAGTCGCGCACCACAATTTCCTCGCTCCCGAACATATTTCTCCACTCGCGCACAGAGATGTTATGTCATTCGCATTATTACGCATAACTAAAAAGTAGTACCGTGGTTACTGGGCTCACATGGTGTTGCTCAAAAGTGAATGATGGCTAAAATGGCAGAAGATAAAAAAATACATTTGTTACCCAAAAAACACACTTTGACACCTCGCATTTAAGGAATCCTTGACATTTCAATAAGTAAACATGAATCGACTACTCGTTAAAATATAAGATGTCATTATATTTTCCACGCATTGATTCTTGTCTATTAATTACATAATGCAGGACTCGTTTTATATGCATAGTGGATAAATGAATTAAAGAAGACATGAGAAAACGAATATGCTATTGGATTAATTTAACAAAATATTGAACGTAAAATTATCACTCAAATGTAATATGAACACAAACCAGAATTCATCCCCATTTGAAACATATAACTTTATACAGCAGTTACGGTCACTGGTTTACTTCAGTATTCATTGAACCCAGTAACTATGAACTTTATTTGATCTATGCCTTACCCGTAGCGACCGGGGGTTCGAGGGGTTTGTGCGAAGGAGGGTAGTTGTTTGTAGAATGAATCGGGGTGTTTTTTAAGCATTTCCCTTGTTTGTCATCAAAAACATCAATACAATTTGAATCATTTTATTGACTTAAGATTGCACCATATAATCTCCAAAAATATATTTCTGATAAATGGTGTTTTTAATAGGTTTCATGTATGCCAATAATTTCTCAAATTGTGTAAATGGTACCAATTCAGGAAAGTAAATCGTTACACCTTTTGGGTTGCGCGTATAAACCAAAACATTTCTTTCCAGATTTACCGTGCGGGAAACGGAAATTTAAATTTTGTAGCAAAATCCTTTTTCTCTAGTAGCATTGTCTCATCGCAAACATGTACATTTTCTAAAACATATGATACTGATACACGTTTGTGAGAAAAAATTTGGTGGGGATTCTGCCTATAACGCGTGAAATAAGGAAAAAATAAAAATCGTACCTTCGACGTTCCGACATTTTGTTACCGAAACGGTAATTTTTTAAATCAATGTGGCTTTTAGCCAATGTTGAAATACTAGGACATACCCGACACACCATGGTACCACATATATTACATTAACTTTTAAATGTTGTTTCTGGCTACACATTGACATATTGTTGTATGTGCCAAGTATTTCATATCGTAAATGACTTGCTGTTTCATCTCGCTTCATCAAACTTATGACTGTGTTTGAGTGTGTGAACCGACGATGTATTACCATCATCTACAATAGGATTCATCATAGCCATCATCTAATAAGAACTGTAATTATGGTGTCATTACCTAACATTTACATCAGCAGGTCTCATCAGTTAATTCACAACATGAAGAACACCCTTTGATTTTCGCCCCAAATGCCTTATTATCACTGGTCAACAACTGGAATCAGTATCATCAAAATTATTTATACACTCTCCTCCATAAGTTTGGCATCCTTAGCTCCCCCATTTAACTACGTGTTAAAGCCTCTTTACGTTTGAATTTTTATTAACTTAACCTGCGATGAAAATGCTTATACTATATATGGAAACGTAATTTGACTTTATTTCCAATACTTCCAAATTTTCTCAATTTTTCCCTCAATTACAATAGGTCGAAAAAGTGAAATGGTGTGTTCGGGCATATCAGAAATCAGGATAGCTATTCAGTAAAAGATTCAGCAAAAAATATTTTTATATTACATAGAAAATTGAATCGTCTAACATTTTCGGACACTACGCGTTTAGTTTACTTGATGAATACTAAAGTTACAGAGCTTCAGTCATTTTTGAAAATCATTTTTCGCATCCTGTGTTATTTCAATGGGAGATGTTTTTGGAAAACTTAATTTTGACTTTAAAGACCTATAACGTTGTTGAACCTGAAGAAATGTATCAATTTTTTATTAAATATAGTTAGCAAATTCAATTGCGTACCTAACTTGTATTTTTTGCAAGGACTCAGATGGATGGGTATTCTGTCATACGACTTGCGGCAGACCTACCAGTTCCCATTGGTTAACATGGGAATGTCGATTTTCAAAAATTCGTCAAATATCATCAATGTTCGACATATGGTAATTGAGGAAAAAATTGAGAAAATTTGGAGGTATTGGAAATAAAGTCAAATTACGTATGGATTGAACCCCTTAACTATGAACTTTATTTGATCTATGGAGTGAAAATAAAGTTCCGTCCACAACAGAAGTGGCAGATTGGGCCAGGTCTTCTTTATGGTATCACACTCTGTTGGCTTTACATTGTTTTCCTTAGCTGATTTTAAAAGTTGATTTTCAAAATATGTTACTCACGATGTCTAATGTTGAAAACAATGATGGTTTAACTCTTTTTTCTTTAAGTCAATGACAGAAGGAACATCCAAATCGCAATACCGCCCCTCCCTCAACATTTTATCACTTCACTCTGTTATCATTTGGACAAGCTGTTGATCTTGATTTTCAATGAAAGTTACTCCCTGTTTATCCATTATTCTATTTTCATAAATTCTTCAAACTCTCCTCCTCATCACTGTTTATGACAACTATCATTAGGACGACCTGTTGACAAGAAAATCTACTGAAACTAAAAATGAAACAACTGAATCTTTTTTTAGTACTGAATCTCAATAACGCGGCCAATGCACAAAATATTGTTATTTTTTTAAACTAGACTATTACCATAACATGCTTTTCGCTTTTTTCTTGAATGAATATGTTTCAAAAATCTCTTCCAAATGTGCTATGGTTGAAATATTTCTACACCTTGACATTCCTCAACAGGAGAAAAATGCCATTTATATATACAGTATTTAAAGACACACTATACGTAATTTAGAAGAAAAAAGAAAAAAATAATCATTGAAACGTGCAACTCACATATTTGCTCAAATATGACACAAAGTTTGATTTGCTTTAATATTGAACCAAGAAAAAAATAACTCACATTTTTTGAAATTATGAGATGATTAGACATGCATGCACATGTTAAACAAAGTGCATGTTTTAAATAACTATTGCTTTAAAAGATGGCGACACTTCTATAAAAATGAATGTATCATGTAATACAAACAACTTTGCCATCTTTCAATGACATTTATAAAAACTTGATATATAAAGCTGGACAGATCGAAAATATTTTTTGATAATTTATTGTTAGCTTTGATGTGGTCAATGAGCTGTTGTTGGTGTCAAATGAAAGATAAGGTTCATCAATACATTGGACATACTATGGAATTTAAATGTAAGTCTTTATTTTGCCCAAAAATGTTGAAAATTCCAAAAGTGGGCCTTTAATGCATTGACATTGAAATTTTCGATTTTTTGATGATACTAATTACTTTAGTTTATGGTTCTCCATCACAACCCTGTGTCATTATATACAATAATACCAATCTAATATAACATTGTATATTTTGAACCTAATATACATTTATTGTATATTAAACCTAATATCAATTTAATGTAACATTTTTATAGATTTAGTATATATTTGAGCCTAATATACATGTACATCTAATATCATTCTGCCATTATGGTGCTCCATCACACCTATGTTCCATTAAATATTGAACCTAATCAATTTAATGTAACATTGTACTAGATTTAGTATATATTTGAGCCTAATATACATCTAATATAATTCTGCCATTATGATTCTCCATCACACCCATGTTCCATCAAATATAGTGAATGTAATATCAATTTAATGTAACAAATTTAGTATATATTTGAACATTATATACATGTACATCCAATATCATTCTGCCATTATGGTACTCCATCAGTGTACCATTAAATATATTGAACCTAATATCAATTTAATGTAACATTTTTATAGATTTAGTATATATTTGAGCCTAATATACATGTACATCTAATATCATTCTGCCATTATGGTACTCCATCACAGTACCATTAAATATATTGAACCTAATATCAATTTTAAAATATAATTCTGTCATAATGGCAATCCATTCCACTTGGTAACAATTTACTATATTACATGCAATTTGCAAGCTTTGATATTTCATTGATTTATGAGTAACAGACTGCTATGATTTAATTTGGATTTAGCAGATATATTAAAGATGAGCCACGTTAAAGTCTTTGAACATGGCCGTAGCATACATGTATTTAGCCATTATGTCCATATCATTGAATATTTGCCCGAAGTCTGTCATCAATATAGCCCAACAATGTAGCTTGCAGTCTTAGAAAATAGTCCCTAGACATGTGGAAAAAAGTTTAGCGGCTAAACAAGAATATATAGTAGACCTTCAGCTCCACTGACTCCAATAAAAATACTTCACTGGGTATGTAATATGTACTCATATTGCCTCCTATCTTCAGGGAGATTTTACACTCTGTGTAGTGCACCTGAATGTGGTCCACGTCCAAAGAAGAAATCAGTGAGATGTCTTAATCTTTCAGCTGTTCTTGGAGATTCATTTTTCAGATAGCCTTTAGTTAAGACTTCACGTGTTAAATGTCCTCTAGCAATTAACCCTAACTGGAACTTAAGTAAATTCACGCCCCAAATAATAGATAATATATTACACAGGAACACACTAAAAACCCAGGCATGATTTTTGAAAATCAGTGTCAGAGTTGGCAGGTCATACTGAAAAGTGTTTGTAAAGATGGCAGTGATGTAGCAATGTGTGCTAAAGATGAAGAGCAGCATGCATGTTACACACGCTGCCACAAATAAAACGAAGAGTCTGTGGTTGGTTTTAGCGATACATTTGTTAAGGAAAAGGCAGTGGTGATCCATATCTGCCACGCATACCTCACATAGTTTACAATGTTTGCTCCGGCCAGTTTGCACAATCTGAAAAAGAGAACACAAGGTGATTAATATTGCAAACTTCAACAAGAACACAAATGTGTACAACATGTCCCCACCAATGGGTGATCCTATACACTGCAAATTTTTCATCCTGAATGCCTAACCATTATCAGTTGAAAAGACAAGATTTTAAGAGAAAAATCATTTTCATCCTAAGAATCATTCCTGAAAATTTAATATTGATCCCTCAAACAATTAACCTGAACATGCAAAAACAAGACTTTACAGACAAGATTTTAGGACGGAAAATCCAAAATGGCTGCCTTAACATTTACCCAGAATGCCGAAAAACTAATTAGTTCTAGATTGTCATATTATGAATCATTCCTTAAAATTTGAAATTGATCTTAGGATGGAAAAATCCAAAATGGCCGACAATGAAAAAGAGATTATGATTTTTTGCTGATTTCTTTTACAGAATTATCACATATAGCTACTGTTAACAATAACATAGGCTTTTACAACAAAGTACACCTGAAATTATATTTATAAAGCTACGTACTAAATAGTTTAAGTATGAAAACTCAAAAATACCATTCAAAATGATACAAAGTATTAACGCACGACAACTTTTCTTAGGACATTCAAAATGGCTGCTATGACTGAGCTATCTGTGGAATGAAGTGAGCTGAACAAGATGTTAAAGTTTTAAAAGCATCCGAAAAGCTGTTTTTCTTAAAGTTTGCAGACAAGGAGTTTAGCATTTGACTTCAAAATGGCTGACAGGAAGTAGGTATTGAGTCGAAATTTTCGGTTTCGCATCTGTATGTACTCATTAGTTATCCCTGAAAATTTGAAGATGGTATCTCTAGCGGTTTAGGAGAAAACTGTTGGACATACAGACGGACAGACGCGCCTAGGCCGACAATATGGCCCCACACTATGTGGTGGGGACATAATAAAACTGAGTTATTCATATAAAGGAAGATTAATAACACTAGATAATAGGTGTCATTATACAGTTATTATGTATGCTTTAAATATGATGAGACTTTAATCAACAGCCTTGGGTTGAAAGGTAAATCTGATTCCCTACAACTGTAGGTGCTTGTCATATTTACATACAACTTTTACAGCACTAATAATGGCTGATGCTTAAAATTCATATTAGCCTTCAATCTGCACCATTGACAGACTTGTACACATTTATTCAAAATTGCCAAAATTGAAAATGCGTCCACATAGACAGTGCCACAATAAACACAAACTTAACATGGCATAGTCACCTCTTATAAATAAGGCAATTGATTCACTGAATATGTAAGCAAACTTGAGCTATTTTTCAAGCATAATATTTATAACAAAGCCGGTGCATGTTACAGGCTATTCACAAAATCCTAATTGTTGTTTCTTAGGATCAGATATAGGCAATTGGCTTACCTCGCAATCAAAACAGTAATCCCCAGGGGCAATCTCTCCAGAAGCGATATCTATTACACTGTACTGATCTATTCCATTAGGCTTCAAAGATGACTGACGTAAAATACCTGCAAAAACACCCTGACTTTAGGATTAATCATACACTGTAGAGCATGACAATATTTTCCTCATTTTTCTCATGTGGAATTCTCATTTCAGAAAAAATTCTCTTGTGAACTTCAATTTATTGCTAAACAAATTGTATGTTATAGAAAGCCCAAGGTGCAAAATTTCAAATTGTTTGTATGTCCCTCCAGATGATACTTTTAAATTGGTACTCAGGTAGCTTTAATGGAGAAATAGTTTCAACTAAGATAATTTCTTCAGGTCCATTAATCTGGTGGAGACCAAAGAAGTAAGAACTTCAGAACTCCAGCACTGCCTGATAGAAGAACAGCCATACCTGGGTCTCTAGTAATGAGTGTATAGTGTGACCATACCAAGACAGGTGCCAATAGCAATGCCATGAGAGTAAGTATAGTGTGATCCATGTAGATCCCTGAGATACCATTAAGGGAAAATAGTGTATATCAGTAATTCACAAGATAAATTAAATAAAGAAATACATGCCAGGACTTATTATCATTTTTATTAGTTGAGCCCCTGTACTGACCACAACCTTATTATGGAAATGTGCAAAGTTGGTTTCTTCCATAATGAAACCTGTACATTTATGAAAACCTCTCCAATCCAAACTCCCCTCAAAGTTAACATTTTTTGTAGGTCCCAATCCCCACAGGAGCACAGAGTAACTCTGAAATGTGAGATAGAAACTGCTTAAATCCAAACACTTTTGGCTGGTTTCAGTGGTGTTCATATGAGACAGGTTTTTAGTGTACATGTATTTGTATGATGCTTCCTGAAAAAACATGAATACAACGTAGGAATGACTTGTCACTTTTATATTAAAAGATTTTATATGTGTTACTTGAATTTGATAAGGATTTGACAGATGGGCCTACAAGTAAATGATTTTGAACAAGAATGAAATACTCAACAAGATGGCAGTTTCAATTTGTGCCACCAATATTGGCATACAGATGGAGGGATCAGTAGAAGGAATAGGCTCACTGTGGTAGGCAACATATTAAAGGTAGTTTCCTTCCTGGGAGAATCTATGTTTGATATTAAAAAGGATACTAGGAAGAATGACACCAAAGCAGCAGACCAATGTGTGGTAGAGCCCAGCTCCAAAGGTCCCCATAAATATAGGATTCGGCCATCTATAAGCAAACAATTCACAAAATTGTATAATCAAGAAATCATATTTTTGATCCTACTCTACTGGGGGATATTTTTAGCATGTTATGGAATTCTCTTGTTTTTGCGAATCTCGAGAAAATGTGTTAAGTTTTCCTTTGCGAGCATACTGTATTTTAAGATGTTCCTACCTGGCAACATGATTAATACGATGCCCGTGCTGATATAGTGTTACTAACAACATCACCATGCCAACTGTTGCTACCAAGCCCTGGTTACTGAACTGTGTTGCTATGGCAATGATGATTGCGTACAATACGCTAGGCATAGCAAGGTGCCAGTACCATGCCAAAGTTGGACCTTTTGGTATGCTGTTACGATCCCCTTTCTTTGTATAGTAAGTCATATAGCCTATCATATTTTTGTGTCTGAAAAGAATTTCTCAGTGGTTACATTTCAAACTGTAAAATAAAGAGAACATGAGAAATAGCATAAAATAAAGTAAGCAAGGTCTAGGAGGCTGCATGAGGCATAGAACAATTATTACCCATTTAATGTTACCAACATATGTTTTATCTATACTGTCATGGGCGTAGTGCTATATTTCTAAGTAATACGCCACCGCGGGAACAATAGTTGAGTGAAGCAAAAGACAAGCGTTTAGGTGGGTCTCCCACCAGAAAAATTTTGCAATTTGGTTGTATTTAGAGCATTATGTACAATGATAAAAACTGAAATAGTAGAATACACTCTCTTTAAATGTTGTTAAAACAATGCTCGACTTGTCAAGTATTGTAGTAAGTATTGAACTTGTAAAGATGATTATAGGAATAGCATATGAATCTATAATGGAACTACCATTTATCTTTTTGAAAGAATAAAAGATGTCACTGATGTATGGAAATGTATTTTGGTTAAAAGTTCTTTGAAATTGAAGTCTTATCTGTATTTGCATATAAGGATAGTTAAAAAATGAAGGATTTAAGATCCTGGTCCTGGTAAGCAACCTAACAGAATTAGTGAACTTTCAGATATGAAGCTGATTCCTTGTCTAGAGATAAATACATGTTGTACAGCAAATCTCATCTGCATCAAGAATTCTAAAATATGGAACCAACCATAGACACATTTAAGACTGCTTCATTCTGATGGAATAAACTCTCACCTTATATTGTTCTTTTTGAGTATTAAATCTAATGGAATAAATTCTCATCGTTCATTGTTCTCTTTGAGTATTAAATGTAATGGAATAAACTCTCACCATATATTGTTCTCTTTGAGTATTAAATCTAATGGAATACACTCTCAATGTATATTATTATCTTTGAGTATTAAATGTAATGGAATAAACTCTCACCATATATTGTTCTTTTTGAGTATTAAATCTAATGGAATAAACTCTCGATGTATATTGTTCTCTTTGAGTATTGAATCTGATAGAATACACTCTCACCTTATTGTTTTATATATTGTTCTTTTTGAGTATTAAATCTAATGGAATAAATTCTCATCGTTTATTGTTCTCTTTGAGTATTGAATGTAATGGAATAAACTCTCACCATATATTGTTCTTTTTGAGTATTAAATCTAATGGAATAAACTCTCAACGTATATTGTTCTCTTTGAGTATTAAAACTAATGGAATAAACTCTCACCGTATATTGTTCTCTTTGAGTATTAAATCTAATGGAATAAACTCTCACCTTATATTGTTCTCTTTGAGTATTAAATCTAATGGAATAAACTCTCACCTTATATTGTTCTTTTTGAGTATTAAATCTAATGGAATAAACTCTCACCATATATTGTTCTTTTTGAGTATTAAATCTAATGGAATAAACTCTCAACGTATATTGTTCTCTTTGAGTATTAAAACTAATGGAATAAACTCTCACCGTATATTGTTCTCTTTGAGTATTAAATCTAATGGAATAAACTCTCACCTTATATTGTTCTCTTTGAGTATTAAATCTAATGGAATAAATTCTCATCGTTCATTGTTCTCTTTGAGTATTAAATGTAATGGAATAAACTCTCACCATATATTGTTCTTTTTGAGTATTAAATCTAATGGAATAAACTCTCAACGTATATTGTTCTCTTTGAGTATTAAATCTGATAGAATACACTCTCACCTTATATTGTTCTTTTTGATTATTAAATCTAATGGAATACACTCTCAATGTATATTATTATCTTTGAGTATTAAATATAATGGAATAAACTCTCACCTTATATTGTTCTCTTTGAGTATTAAATCTAATGGAATAAACTCTCACCTTATATTGTTCTCTTTGAGTATTAAATCTAATGGAATAAACCCTGCTCTGTTGACAACATGCAGCATCTTACAGCCTCCCTTTGTGAGGAGGTCCCAACAGAGTAGACTTTGACCCCTCTGGGCGCAGATGTGCATGGGTGTGTTGCCTTGGATGTCAGCACGATGAATATCACTGCGCTGTAAATATCATATCATGTAGTGCATTACACAAGACAAATTGTCCCTATCCTACAGTGTACACGTATGTGGCAAGTTGTTAAAAAATTGATTGTGAAAGTAACAAGTTTAAAAGACATTGACTGCCAATCCTGGACTCAAAAAATGGTGGCTATCTCAGTTCGTCACCATTTTGTAGTTGTATAATGATGTTAGTACTATAACACCATGCATTAGAGAGAAAAAACACAAATAAAAATATTGTTTATCAAAAAATAGTACATGAATTCATTGCAAAAATAGAAATGTAATAATAATCATTGAATTAAATGAAAATTGATTGAGTTCATTGATTTCTGCAATTCTTAAATACATACCCCTATCTTGGTAAGGTATCTAAAAGCCTCCATGTTGCCATGGAAACAGACAATATGGAGAGGTGTCTGTTGGTTCAGGTCAGCACCATCTAATGGGAAGTTATACACCTCATGCATGTATGCAAATGCTAATCTGAAAAAATAACAAAATTGTTCAAGGCATTTTGATTGCAATTCATCATGGTTATGGCAGAATGTAAAAATAGTATTTATTCATCAGTTTAAAGATGGCAGCACCTAATCATTTTTTTTATTCTAATTCATTGGGGTGAGGTTCTATACAATTTTCTGATCCAATCTAAACCATTGATTAAATAAGAGAGTCCTTGTTTAGTTTAATTAATAAATCATCCTTTAAGTAATCTTTGGGTTTAATAAAATGGACTCACACACTCCCTCCCTGTGCTATAAAATGCATGAGGTTTTTGCCACTGAGGTCCAAAGCATCCATATCTGCGCCATGTTCTATCAGGGTCTTGATCATGACAGGGTTGCCCCGTCGACATGCAAAGTGCAGTGGGGTCTCCCCCGCAGCATTGGAGCAGTTAACATTAGCACCATGTTGTAGTAAAAGCACCATAAGATCCATGTCCCCCTTCAGTATGATGTGATGAAGTGGAGTCATACCATTCCATCCTGGAATTCAGAGTTTGTCTTTATTTTCCATATAAAACATAGTGGCACATTGCTAGCTGCTTATATTTTTATATTTATGAAACCTTACAATTACTTACTTGAGGGAATCTAACTGCAATGTAAACGTAATACTGAACTTTTATGATGTCACACAATTACATGTATTTTGACATGAGGTGTGGGGTAACCTCAACATTTACTTTCTAGAAATAAGAACTTTCTTTTCCCCATGAAAAATCAAAAGCATGCAAGATCTCCATACATGTACATGGATTGGATATTGGCTAATGAAAATGGCTAATTAAATCCCACACTAAGGGCTGATGTGGAAAAGTCAGTCCACCCTAGTGGGGATTGAACCCTGGGGTGACGACCTCCCGCTTTCCGGGTAATTGCTCTACCACTGAGCAACATGTATAGAGCATTCATTTTCTCCTGGATTAGATATAAGAGGTGCGCAACAAGGTGTCAAAGTTACCCTATACATGTAAGTTGAACTTTTTTTAAAAAAGAAATGGAATACCATCAAATATGTACCTGCTCACCCTTACCAGAGTTCTCACTAGGCTTTTAGAGTCTTTTAGACCCTCTTGCTCCAGAGTCTAGTAGCTTTTATCTCTAATTTCACATGGGGGATGAGAAGTCGCGATATTGTGGATAATCTGGGGTCTAAAGATTACCTGGTGAGAACCCTGCTTACGTGTGCATGATAGGAATTTATCCTATTCTTTACTCACTTTCTCATATTTTGCTGAAGCAGAGCATTTTATTCCAGCCTCAAAAGTTCTAAGTTCTCTGTGCATGTACATGTGAAAAACTTTTTGCATGGGGCGGGGGTTCATGGCATAAGCAAGGCAAAAAAAACAATTTTTTTAAGATTTGTTTTGAATTTTACAAAAATTGATGCAACTTCCTTCAAAATTAAGCCGGAAGCTTCAAATAAAAAGCATATTAAGGTACAGCTGGAAAATAACATTTTGGTAAAAAATTGCTGTACCTGCACATGTTATTTTGGGTACACTATAAAGTATGAAAGCATGTGTTAATTCCCTTACTTTTTTCAGGAAAGTATCATTACATTGTTTTCTTTTAGTATATCTGGTAGAAGGTCAATGGGAACTCCTGGGAATTCTGATATTTCACACTTTCTATTTTTCCAAATTTTCTTTCAAAGTTTCCAGACAACACAGGAGCTACCATTGACCTGTTTCCAGGTTTACTAAAAGTATACAATGTAATGATACTTTCCTGAAAAAAGGAAGGAAATATATACACATGCCTTCATATTTAATTTTGTACCAGAAAATAACATGTGCAGGTGTAGCAATTTTTACCAAAATGTTACTTTCCAGTGAACCTTAAAGCTCTTTTCTTCCTCTATGTAACTATGGGTTTTCTAATTCAAAGCCCATGATCTAATGGTTCTATTTTTATTGGTTATTGGAGGGGGGAGTGATGTTCACATACTTTTTTACTCAGTTAATTCAGCCAGTTTGTCAAAAGGTTAGGCACATGAGCTCCCTAATCATGAAGCAATCTGCACTAGGTTTTAACTTGAAGTTCATTCTGATTTATGGGGCTATACTGGAATTTGAAAATACTGGCTGACTAATTCATTGACTCTAATAACAAAGTAAACACTTCTCCGAGAGGATATATGTCACAATACAGGGTAGAAATTTTTGGTTTTTTTATTTTATGCTAGATCTACTTTTGGAATTAGAATAAAGTATAAAGTAGCACAAAATAAAAACCCAAATATTGCTACGCTACATTATATTGTGACACTGATGTCTGCGAGTTTGTCAGAGCTTCGGCAACCTAGGGAAAATATAGCAAAATGTTCGGTACAATCGACTGAGGTAAGAAATAGGTATACAGGGGCACAGATCCGGGGCACAGATCCGGAGCCAGATCCAGCCCCTTTTGGTATTGGCTCAAAGAATAAATGAGAAGATAAGACACCAACCAAAAATGGCACATCCAAAAAATGACCACCCAAAAATATGATGCTCATACTGATCGATCGACCTTTATCTTTTCCATCTCTCAAACACTGAGTGATCAATAGTTACCCTGTAATCTCTTCTTTATGTATTAGTTTGAATGGTTGCAGATGATATCAATTATTGACGCTTTAAATCGAATTTTCCCAGGACATTTATTTCAAATTTTCAGAGCGTAAAGATAATGGAGGGCTTCGGTAATTTCTGGCAGTGTCCCATGTTGTTCATCTCTTGAATTATGTCATGTCGCAACAAACAGCCAATGAAAGTAAACGATCGCGTAGGCTACAAACCGTTGTTATTGTTTCTACAGGAGTTTAAAGAAATGTCATGGGATTTCTCAGTAATCTCTGATGTGACGTCATCCGGAGTGGCGTCACATTCTCAGAAAAGTATGACATCATTGACATGTTATATTTATTGATAAACTGACTCCAAAATCAAGGAAATTAAATTTTCCGAAGACTTTGTGTCTTGTCCTTGAGTATATTTATATGTATTGAGCCTAGACACTACCAAGAAGAGGTAATCTGGCTGAGGTCTGTGCATGAGGGGTGTCAAAAATATATATTCTGCATATGTTATATCTAAGTCTGTTTCGGTTTATTTATTTTGTACCTTTCTGGTTCACTGAATCTGGATTCTGCTTGAGAATTTCGACAATGCCTTCTCTCCCAACATAATTTATGGCTTCGTTGAGATTGTTCAGGATTCCAGATGGTGGTTTTCCTCCATTGGTTTTCATTCTCTCTTGCGATCTCATTTCATCCATTAAATTATGAAAAACTTGGTAAAACCAAGCTTTTGAGCATTTTCTACTCAATGTTGTTATGCGCAGCAGGAAAGCCGGATTTTTGTAAAGAACACATTGATTGATTTAGAATTTGGAAATAGTGAAATCAAACCAATCAAATCACGGAACACATAATTTTGAAGCGGAAGTTCTAAAAACGTTTTCTGCGCAGATTTCACGTTTTGCGGTAATTTTTAATTTTTTCCCAAATTTGTATTAATTTGAGTCTGTTGTCCAGTGGTGGAATCGATAGCTTATTGAAGATACCTCAGAAGTATGAAAACATATTTCTGCATGTAAAGCAACACTTATTTTGTTATGTTGTGTCAGTTCATCTCACGTCTAAAATTCAGCCAAATTTCGATATTGTACCAGGAAATTTATTTGTACCTCGTCTGTCAAAAACCTGGATTTCTTGAAAAATTCAAATGTGCATATTAAATTATCGCATCCTCCGACCCCCACTACGTCTGTGGTCGTACGTGCGAATCATTGCAGTCAATGTTTTTACATAGTTGGAGAAAATACTACGCATTGCACACTTAAATAACCTACCATGATACATCAAGGGCGTTACAATACCCGGGAATTTATCGGTTCGTGCAGTACTTGTTCGTGATAGCGCCCTCTATAGGTCACTGTGCTTAATAGCCTACAGTAATACGGGGTAGGATATTGGGAATTCGGTCAGTTTTCATCCGTCGATTACGCTATGAATTGAAGCAAGTGTGACCACTTTATCCACTTAAACAATTTGATAATTGATTAGATCTTTAAACAAAATCGATAAACACGTTATACACTTCCTATCTCCTTAGAAATTTGCATGTATTTATGGATTGTGTTTTCGAACAAGGCTCGACCCAGTCCAATAGGGAAATCCTTATGCTAATTAGTATGACGTCATATTTTCCTGGGGAATCCTAGATTTCAAAGCTTCAGTCTGTTATTGTGTCAAATGTAAACGCTCTTTTGCAGACAGAAAATTGACAGATTAGCTTATAACTTTCAGCTTTGATGTTTAAATATTCTGTATTTCTACCGGACTTCTTGCTGAATATCATATAATGTTATAACTTGATTTGGACCATTGCCTGATTGATCATTCTGAAATTTTGATTAGTGATTAGAAGTCCATGCACAAGCATACACATAAGAGACAAACACACCCAGGCTCCAGGCCGTGGATGGAAATATAAAACTATTTAAGGCACAAACTGGTATTTAATAGACCGATATGTAGTGTCTGCCATGTATTGAAGGTAAACCAATTTGCATTATTATGTTACTTCTATCAATACATGGATTGTGCAATGGAAAAGCAATGGCACAATCAAAAATGTGCATATCAATCGTGAATATCTCTCGGTTCAAAGCTCATTTCCAACAGAATCGTGTCAAAATATGTGTCTGAGTAACAGTTATACATTATAAGATCGCAAACTCTTACCAATTATCAGCCGAATGGCTCATTTTCAACGAAATGTCCTTAAGACAACAGCCCTGGGTCGCGCCTGAGACCAAAAACTATTTCAAATAGCCCTCCCCTAAATATATTGGATAATCACATTTATGCGTGCGCGCGCAGCTCATCCACTGAACGAAACGCCACTTCCCGCTGAAATCACCGGGTATTGATCTTTCCCTTGGATACATTCCTTAAGTATTTAAGCCAATTGTATGGGTTTATCGGCAGAAAGAAGAGATTTTCGTTTTTGAATCGGAAATATTAAGCCCTTTCCAAGATGGTGGAAGCTCATCGGAGGGTGACTCCCCTCATGACTGGTGCATGCCGGGACCGGATGTACTACTAAATTTAGGAATTTGACGGTTGAAATAAGTTAAATATTACAAGCAGCCTACTGCTATCAAAAACAAAATCTTTCGCTCTTCCGATAAACCCATACATAAAAAGACTTCTAAAATACTAAGGAATGTATCAAGGTAGGTCATTTAAGTGTGCAATGTGTAGTATTTTCTCCTTGTGTTTTAACAACTTCATTTATCTTGCTTAATTTAATTCTGAATGAGGGAGATGCCATGATTCCAAAGCACGTATGTGGGCGGAGCCAGAGGGAGGGGGTGCGAAGGGTGCCAATTTCAACAATCAAATGCTTTTCATTACATGACGTATTATTACTAGACTAAACCTCAAAATTTTCATGATCAGCCTGAGTTTCAAGAGGAACATAATCATATATTCTTATGGGAAGTAAAGATTGTGTTAAATTATATTTTAATCATTTGAATTCAGAAAGAGAAAAGATGGATAAAGAAGATGAGGATGTTTTCACCAAAAATGACGCAAAGATTGAGCCAGCCAAGGATAATATAGCTGCTCCCACTGAAAAGAAAAAGCGCAAAAGGATGAAGGAATTATACAAACAAATCTTAAAACAGGTATAATTGCATCTATTTTACCAACAGACTGCATTTCATCTTTAAATAAATCAAATATATTATTAAATTATTACCACCTTGTTGGGCTTGTTCTAAGGGTATATGTTACTACAGAGACATTTAAAACATATGTTTTATATGTCTCTGGTTACTAGTTTAGAAGGCCTATATTATACTATATTGACCTGAGCAATATGTGATGTCATAATGGTGGGCCAATATTGTGTCTGTTAATTTCTCTTCAAACATTTAATTGTTCATTTTCAGATGGAATTTTACTTCGGAGACGCCAATCTGAGACGTGATAGATTCATCAAAAAAGAGATTGACAAATCAGTGGATGGATGTATGTATTTAATTTTTTCAATTTTAGAATTTTCCTCAGTCAAATATGTACAATCACATTTTAAGAGTATTCCCAAGGTTCTTATTTGACCCAGGAAATTGAAAGAAGTTTATGTTGTTATTCCTTTTTTAAATGTGGATCTACTTTATTATTTGGGAGGATTTATACATTTTACACATTTTGCAATTTGAATCTTTAAATAACTTTACCTCATAACCGATAAATCGTGTTTTACTCAAAGTCAAATTTCTGATGTATTTTCAGATGTTCCTCTGGAGATGTTCCTCACATTTAACAAGATCAAGGCCCTCACTGATAGCTCTAAGGTTCTGGCAAAGGCCTTAGCACCATCAACTCTTATTCAGGTATGTGATCCCGTGCATTCCCTAAAATTGCAGCAACCTGGTTCAGAACCCAGTTTAGAATTTGATCATCCCCAAATATCAGTAGCTTATTTTAGTACCTTATTTAAAATCTTCAATTTTGTGCAAGGTTATTAACATGAATGATATTGTTTGCATGATTGATTGGTAGTTGTGTGCTCGCAACAGTTCATATAACAAAAATTGAAAGAAACAATGTAAAATTAGAAATGATGATTCTTTTTTTTTTGAATTATGTATATACAGTTGAGCGAAGATGGTACCAGGATCAAGAGAACCAAGGAGTTGGCGTCAGAGTCTGACTGTGATGCAAGAACAGTATATGTTGTAAGTACGAGAAACATTCCTCATCGATTACTAAAAGGCAGTTATGAACTATGTGTATTTGAGCAAATTTACTTTAACCTCTTGAATTCCAGGCTCTAAAATCGGTTAAAACCAGAGAATTTCAGAGTGACGAGAAAATCCATCACAATATTATCTCGTCACTCCAGGTCGTCAAGAGGTTAAAATAAAATAAAGCCATAGGGAAAAATTACTATAAGTGAAGAATGAGAAATGAAAAAGTGATAATTCTGATATACTCGACTCGGTATCTATCAAATTATGTCAAAATAGCCTTGAACAGTTTCTATGCTAGAAGCTTAATGTAACTTTTAATGTTTTATGATTAAACAATAGCGCTAGTGTAAATTTTCCATTTATATTTATTTGAGTTGTGTGCGGTTTGGAGTCGCTTGATCACTACTTTAACCCAATATGTTATATCAATTATTGGGTTTACATGATTTCAACATAATTCTTACAGAAACATTAGTTAATCTATCTCAATTTAATACTATATTCTTATACCGAAGGGGTCCCTATCGCCAAGATATATATTACAATAGACAATATATTTTATATATGTTTTTACTTACTTTAGTTGCAGTACATTAACCTGTTCATTACTTTGGTTGGTGCTGGGGAGGCTGGTGGGTTTTCCATGCTATGAGTTCACAAACTGATTCCTGCCAAATGTAGTCACGTGACATTTCTTCCTTATCACATGGTCTATATAAATTAACTCACCTATGCACTCTATACACTCTGCCATCTATACATCACTTACGAGATAGATTTAACTGTATGAATATCTAGTGATCTGAGACAACTCCAAAACACATAAATATTTATATTTCATATAAGTCATTTTCTTGTACTTTAAGGAGTGTTTACCTATCAAAGTTGATCATGAATGGGTCAAGTCCACCTTTAATGTTTGCGGGGAGATCGCTTATGTGAGTCTTCCACGTTTTAAAAGCACTGGAGATATCAAAGGGTTTGCATTCATAGAGTTTACCACAAAAGAAGGAGCTGAAAAAGCTGTACAGGTACATGGCTTTTATACAAAGTGCCTAGGAGGCTTTGAGTAGAGAAAGCTTCGAGTAGAGGAAGCTTCATAGCTTTTCTTGTGTATTTAAAAACTCTAAAAGGCAGATCCCCATAAGTATTTGAATGTCACATTTATATAACCAGCATCTAATAAATAGGTGTCAGGTACAACTTAAAATATCTATAAGCTTCTCAAACTTCACATGGAGAATCTCCAAATCAATTCCTTATTTTCAGAAGTAAACACTTTTAATACTTCAAAGAATTAATATTTCAACCAAAATGGGTCAAAATTGTTTTTTCTAAAATCATGACGAACTTTCCATTGCTTTAAGATATTCAGATATTAACCCACAACAAATGAATTTAAATGTTGAAATGGATATTCCAGCAACTAAATAACCCTCCTGTGAGTGCTGGGGAAAAGCTTGGACATTTCCCAAAGTACAACAAACAGCTAATCAGTCTGCAGAAATCTCTTTCTACAAATGACGGTACAGGTAAGACTAATCAGTGTTATGAACAAGTGGTGGTTGGAGTAAGATATTGTAAAATATGTAAAGTGGAACACCTAGAAGTAAGTGGAGACCTAGATGAAAGTGGAACATTGGATGTAAGTCGAACATTTTCAGGTCCTATTATCCACAAATTTAACATAAAATGAGCCTCTGTAATTGGAATCTGTCACATGTAAATTTTCTTTGAATTGAACACACATTTGGTTTTATCTTAATAAGGGTTGAGTTATTGTTGTCTTGTGCTGGTCATGTTACCAAAAAGAGGAAGACACAAGACTCTTTGTTATAGCCACATACTGTATTTGTTTGACCTGTCACCTACAGCCTCAAGTCACTGTAGTCAGAAACCCATGCCTCTCTATCGTTTCAAAAAATTAACCCAACGTGTTCGTCTCTGTTAATTTATGGCATCCATACTTTTTTGAAAGGTAACACTTTGAGGTTCAATTTTCTGCCGGATGCCCTTGCAAACTCTCATTGGTTGCTCTGTATTGTAGCATTCCGTTACCATGGTTACGCATCTATAGACATCTTTCCTTGGAATCTTAAATCATTTGTAGCTTTGTCATTATTTTGTCTATAGAAATGATATTGGTATCAAATTAAACCTAAAACAATTTCCCATATAATTACGATATTTAATTATTCAAATTAGCTCATTTGCATAAATTGTGACGTCATAAATCCATTTTTGGTTCAGAATTTTCAAGTATAGCAATGTATCTTTAAGAACTGAAGCTGTACGGTAGAATTTCTTCAAGGTTATGACTTTTATTCTATAAGCAAAAGGTTTAAGCAACACAAAAGTGAAAACAGAGTCAAAATTGGATCAGAACTAACAAAGTTATTAAGCTTTCTGGGCAGCTACCATGAACCTTATCATTTAACAATTAACTTTAAACATCTTACCTTAGAATTGAAATGTTTGGTAGCTTTGTCATTATTTGGTCTATAGAGGAGATCTTGGTATCAAATTGATCCGAATTGAAAAACCGGTAAAGTAACGATATTCAATTATGCAAATTAGCTAATTTGCATAAATCATGATGTCATCAATCTATTTTTGGTTCAGAACTTCCAAGTATAGCAACATATTTATTAGATCCGAGGTTGTATGGTGTAGTTTCTGCATTCTTTGTCATTTATTCTATGAGTGGAAGAGGTATGAGCAACATAAAAAATGATTCAAAATTGAATTAGTATTAGCAAAGTAATTCAGCTTTTGAGACAGCTACTATGAACATTACTATTTGAAAATCATAAATAAAACACTAAAATAACAAAAATGAAACAAAGCTGATTCAAGCTTATTGAGTGAAAAATATATAGTTTCCATGTCACTGAATTAATTGGTCAATTAGAAATGATACAGGTATTTGTAATTTTGACTATCATTGACAGGGGTCAAAACATTTTTTTTTTATTCATAGGCGTCAATCTATTTAAAAAGGCGAAACATCATGACTGCATGGTCAAACATAAATATTTGTGCTGCGATTCAATCAGTGAACATCTACATGAATTTTTTAACTGATTTGCTTTATAGGCGTCAATCTATTTAAACATCATGAAAGGTCAAACATTAATATTTGTGCTGGGTTTCAAGCGTGAATATCTATATGACCTGTATATACAAATTGATGACGTTATATCACAAAATGTATGTCATTGCTGTTTTTTATGTCACCATCAAAAGTGGTGACATATTATTATGTTCTCCATTTATTGAGATGGCGTTTTGTTGAATTTTCTAGCAGAAATCGACTCCCCTTCATTCATTTTGTCAGATTATTGGCAGTGACATTAAAAATACAATTTTTATCATCTAGGGTGTCTCAAAAAATGTACCAAAAGGTATATCAACAGCAAAGATAAATTAATCAATATTTTCAGATATTTTTTGCATGGTAAATTTAGGAAAAGCATGTAAGTTTTCTCTCCAAATTAAAATTTTTAGGTCAGTCTTGCCTTTTTGATGCTTTAACCCTTTTTATTCCATGTGTTTAATTTAACCTCCTTACATTTCGATGAAAGACTGCATCCTTACTGCTACATTGTCTATCGTATATGATAATGTTTCTGGTGGAATGTTTTGAATTTCCTTTTACATGTTGATCTCAAGTTGTTCTATGTCTCTTGGCTTGGGATAAGCATGAACATGGTTCTTCAAGTCACCCCAGAGAAAATGTTTGGGGTGTCAAATCTGTTGAATAGGGAGGCCCTAACAATGTCTTTACACAGAGAGAAGAAACTGCTTTCATGAGAATTTTTGTGTGGTCCTTGCTGTACATGGAGGTACTCAAACTGTCTGGAACCACAGTGTTCTCATTTGTATATCATTCAGTCTCCGTAACTCTGGCAGATGGAACTCCATTATCAATTAACCGCTAAATCATTTGACGATAATTGACCTGGTTCTCTGTGATTGTTCTGCCATCTTCAACCTTGGAACTTCTTTCTCTGGGGTTATTTGAAGGAGCATGTTAAGCTAACCCCAAGCCAAAAGACCTGGAACAACATAAGGCCAACACCCAAAGAGAAAATCAAAACGTTCCACTTGAAACATTATCAAATGTAATGAACAATCTAGCAAAAGGATATAGGCTGTCATCGAAATATGAAATAAAAAGTAAAGGGTTAAATCAAAAAGGCAAGACTGAACTAAAAACTTTGTATTGGGGAGGAAACTTACATGCTTCAGCAACATGACCATGCAAAAATATCTGAAAATATTGATTGGTTTATCTGTGCCATTAATATTCTTTTGGGTACATTTTTGAGACACCTAGTATTATTTATCATACCAAGCTATTATAGTTCATAGATAGTATTGCATTTTTATATTAAGTGTTAATGAAGCGTAGAAATGAATAGTGAGGACTTGTGTGAACCCTAGTGAACCCAAGAGTTCCTACATCCAAGTGTTACTGATTTCCATGTGACTAACATCACCTTAATAGTGTAACCTGAAATCCATCCATTTGAGACTCATATTTTTCATAGATTTGTACATATTTCATATTTTGGAAACCTTTTAAAACAAGTTTAGATAATAAGTTCCATACCACACATACTTCCATTGGAGATGTAGGAAACCTATATATAGATATAGGAAGGGTTAGTTAAAGAGGCTCTATGCCATAGGATAACACAATCAAGACCCCTCTGGATTTTTTTTCATATTGAGTTTCACCACATACTCGTATATACCCATCTACTTACAAAAGAAGTAGTCCCAAATCCCCCCCCCCTTTCAGTGTTAATTTTGCGATTGTGCTGGCTGATCTAATTATTTTCGAAGAAATTAATTCAATCTGAAGTTTGAATATACCAGGAAAGTCATCCTGTTATCTGATTGGTCGTTGAATCTATTTATCATAAACCTGATTGCCTGCCTGGTTCAAGGCGCTTGTGTGACTCAATGGGGATTCCCCTCGCTAGCCGAGGAATCGATTGTGTTTAATTCTGGAGTTTGGTTGTTCTGTTGATTATTTCCGATATTTCGGCAATAATATACCGAAAAGCTATTCTCAAGATATATCCATGGTATGTGAGATATTATATGAGCAATAACAATAGGACATCATTGATTGTCTGGGGGAGAAACCTATGGCATAATGCATCTTTAAAGTCCTACGAATATCACATTTCATGCTCTAATTTACACGCTGACTACTTATAACCATCATCTATCACTTCAGCTCACTCATGGGACATATCGTGTTTGAACTAACGTATAATTCAAGTTCAAAATACCCATATCTGGACCGCAGCGGATGCCGCCATTGTTATGTATCAATGACGTCATTGATGCCTTAAAATAGATGCCTGAAGTGTCGCTTGATATCACGTCATACTCAAATCACAGAAATAGAGCACAGTTTACTGATATTTTATAACTATGTCCGCTTAATATTGTTGCCGCATTTTCATGTCGATGTCATATATATTTGGGAAGGTTGTTTCAATATATTTTTAAAGAACGAATTTAATTCCTGCACGGCCTGTTTGTAAACTACTGTGTTTATTTTCTCCAATGTGATATAGTATAGGCTAGGTAGAAATATCACCAAACTTATGAGATATCGGCTGCGCGATTCGGAATTTAACTGGTTTTGACTGAAAAGTAATCGCATTATATTCTACTTGAAAAGTATCATCAATGAATTGTTTCATATTAAATGATAGGGTATCCGTCGGAAAATAGGCCTGACTGTCGCAATTGCTTTCTAAACTAATGGTAGATTTCCAATTTGTAGTTCCAAATGCGTCTACTAAAAAGACTGACAATCGGCCAGTCGATCTTCTACTCTTAGACGAATAGGTGCAGATTTAAAGAAAAAAAAACTAAAATCAATAGGCCTAATCAATGCCAATGACAAATTAACTTAAACGTGTTTAAAAATTAAAATCATGAGGAATCCTCAAGTCTAAATAATACGTGTATACATTAAATGCTAATCTCGGCTAAAAACAATAATAAAAAGTCAATAATAAAAGTGCAATATACCATTCTAAGTCACGATAAAACTTAGTATTTTTTATAAACGTGAGACCTAATTGAAGCGGGAACTTGATCTAACAGATTTAAACGTGGAACTGTGATGGTTAGATTTTTATTTTCACGCGCGTGTCACGATTATACTAGATATACTCCGGGGGGGGGGGGGGGGGGCACTGCCGCTGAAGTTGGTCACTTTTTGCCGAAAGATGTGGGTCCCATTTTTATTTTTAGTTACTTGTACACGCATTTTGAGAAATTATATGAATTGATAATAGATACAAATCACAAGACGGATCGTGAAGGATATATGTTTTAATATCTGAAGGCATTGAAATGACACCATTTGTGACATTTGTAATTGTAATGATATTGAAATTATTTGTTTTCAGCGTAATATCAATGTGTAGGAATTATTGGCTGGAAAGCATTTGAGTTTATGACAAGATACCGATTTTGGAGACATGATCGTAAATGATCG